ATCTATCCACACACATGCATGTGAGCGTCTGCGTGTGCATATATGAGACACTTCAGGTAATTTTGCCTCTTCCCAGGTGAGTTCACACTCCCAGCCAATTAAAGTAGGTTCGCACCTTTCCTGATTCCTACTATAGGCCTACTCAAAACAGAAGTTTGATCTGAAAATAAAACCGGAAATCGATATTATTCTCTAGCGTATTAAAATCATGTTATGAATCATTATTTTGTATTATTTCATCAGCATTTTGTCTGTCGATTTTTACTTGATAACTCGTGATTTTTTTTTACAATCAAAATCGGAGAAAGAGCAGGCATTAAAAAGCTTATATGCATGTTAAGCGCACTGGCATTTAGCTCACAATAATTTAACTGAAATTGTATTATCTTTATAAAGGGAGCAAGAAGCAATAAAAGCAAGCGTTGTATGAAGCATAAAGAAAGCATTCATACAACATGGCGGTAAAAATAGGTATGAAAAGCTGTAATGACAAACATCCGTATATCGGTATTATTCTTATTCCTAAAGATACGTAGTTGAACAGAAATGCATTATCGACACAAATACTATTTCACCATCACTGTAAAAACACATTAATGCGAGATATGTAGCCGCAATAGATAAAAATCGACTCGCCGTTGCCTCCCATACATCGTACCCTCAAACACACCGTAAGTTGATGGTTGACAGAAGCACACAACAGAAAAACTCCAATTTACACCTCTTAAAACCCAACTCACCTCCTCGTAAGTAAAGCCATCGCCTCAAATAGCATAAAAACAACCCATTGGGAGCAAATCGAGAAGGAGAAATGACCCAAAGTTGGAGAAAATAAGAGAAATATCCCCATGGCGGAGTTGCGCAGGCCGGCCATGTTTGTTATGATTGGGGTAAGGCTCAAGCATGGAAGGGAGCGAGGGTTGTTTTGGTGGGGATTTTGCTGGTTTAGGGAGCTGAAATACGAGAGATTAGGAGACTGATTAAGGGAAAGCATTGGGCTGTGCTGTTGAGTCAAGGATAGACTGGGAATTATATTTTTTTCTTCCTTTAACATTGAGATTGGCTATTCAATCAGCGGCGAAAATGTCATGGATGCAAATACGTTAAAATTCAAGACAGCGATTCTGATTTACTAATTGGGGTAATTTTTTCTGCAATACGTCCTCCAAGCGGACCGCGACGATTTCGGTGTCGTTGGATTCGTCTCGTTGTCTGCGATGCCAAGAGGTTGGTTTAATTGCGAGGAAACCCCCTTCAGTCACAAACTTGGCCCCGGTAGCAGGAGAGGGCATGGAAGGTTCAAGGGAAAATGAACACGTGCAACATAAGGATGATCATTCGGTAGATTTCGAAGTGCAATCCAACACTGTTTTTTGGGCGAGTAGAAAAATTTTCCGATAGCTTTTGTCATGTTTTGAACAGATTTAGCACTCATTTCCTTCGCAAATGAAGCACAACAACGATATCAGCCCCGATAGCTAGAGAGGGTATGATAGGCCTACATATCAGGGAATTTCGAGAAATATGTCTTACTAGCGTATGTATATCATTCCACTCCATCTTGTATAACTGCCACTCCTGAGGCTAGCGGCATCCCCTTGAGAGCTGCGCACACCTTGCCAAGGAGAGTGGGCCACCAACGCTCTGCTGTTCATCTGGATTATACTACAATCTGACTGTCATTAGTTAGTATACTGCCTTCTGTGGGCATGTTCCAATACCACTATATTTGTCTATCGTTCTATCCTGCCATACAAACGTGGTGGATTCTTTGTCTTCCAGGGCAGGGGTTGGGGTGTGGTTGCCTCCCATGGGGGGTTGCAGGGGGCACAGCCCTCTTTGTTATATATTGCAGGGACTTATTAATTGAATAGTAACTGTATACTGTCCATTTAGGGTATTATTAGTTTTAGTGAACCCTATAATTTCTCTGGAACCTTTCATACTATTACATGCCCTGACACAGCATCACACTGGTGGGAGGCCCGTAAATGTTTATTTTTTGGGGTCTCATATGTGGGACACCCGTCGTTAGTGGGTTAACATTTGTGGAGCCATTTTTGTGAGATGCATTTCGCAGAAAAATACTACTGTGAACATCACATTATCCTGGTGGCGTTAGGATATATGATGATGATAAAAAAAGAAGAAATTACTTGTATTAAATTTGAACACTTGGGATGATGATAAAAGGCCGATTCGAGGGCTGCAGCAAGTCGCGGTTTGAGTTCCCACGCGGTTGAATTCACCAGACGAGCTCATTAAACAGCCCGGTGATTATTTCGATGAAGCTTTGATCTTATCTGACCTATATTTGTTAGCAAAATGGTAGTGTGTTGTGTGAATATTAACAGTTATGAGGATACGAAATGCTACAAATTATATTTACCTTTAATATAGGAGCAGTCACAGTGGATATTTCCATTCATGCATAGATATACACATATTATTAGAATAAAATTTGAAAATATAGATGTATGTTTATCTATGTATACATATATATGTATATGTGTATACATGTATATGTATACATATACGTGTATGTATGTATGTATATGTTTATATATTTATTTTTGTGCATACATATAGGTATTTGTTAATATTCACATAATGCGCTCTAGTAAACTAAGTAAAATTTTATCTTTTTTGAAAATCACCTGTTCAAGATTGACTTTTCTATTTACAGGTTATGAAGTGAGAGGCAGGCAAGGTTCATAAAGTTCTATGAGCAGTCCTAAAGCATGTGGTAAGTAGTACTATGTATGCTGTACCTTGTTTCTGGAAGTCTTAGTGTGTTAATGTAATTGATTGGTAAGGGGTATATAATAGCATTTCCGTAGGTAATTATAAGAAAGACTGTGAGTTTGACACCTGACCAAATTAAGAAAACTACAGCTTGGGATGATGATAAAAGGCCGATTCGAGGGCTGCGGCAAATCTCGGTTTGAGTTCCCACGCGGTTGAATTCACCGGACGAGCTTGATAAACAGCCCGGTGATTATTTCGATGAAGCTTTGATCTTATCTGACCTAAATTTGTCAGGAAAATGGTACTCTTTTGCTTGAATATTAACAATTATGAGGATACGAAATGCTACAAAGTATATTTATTTTCTTATGGCAGTATTCATAGATGGATATTTTCATTCATGCATAGATATATGTATATTGAAAGAGTATGGAATAAATGTATATATGATTTTATATATGTAATGTATGAAATGTAATACGATAATGTGGAATTACATAAGAATTGTTAATGTTCAGAATAATACAGTCTAATAGATAAAGTAAAAATTTAGCATAGGAATTTGAGACTTTGTTTGTTCATGACTGACTTTTATATTTACAGGTTATGAAGTGAGTGACAAGGTTATTAGGGTTTATGAACAGTCTTCGAAAGCGTGGTAAGTGGCTTCATATACTATGCTGTATTCCTCAAAGACTGTATGTGTGATGTCGTTAATTAGAAAAGGATAGAGAAATGTTATTCCATAGGTGATGACAATTTTTACAAATCTGGAATGAGCAAAGTTGTTATCTGAAGAATATTCATGGTAGATTAAGTTTGAATTGGTTCATTTTAGACAAATGAATGTAAATGTAATTTTAGCAAGATTTTAAATTGAATGAATGAGATATCCTGAAATTATTCACTAGAAATAGTATTTTAGTGTGCAATTGTATACATTAAAAAAGAAAAAGAAAAAAAGAATAGATTATGTAAAGTCATTGCAAATAAAATCAAATCTTTGGAGTGATGATAAAAGGCCGATTTGAGGGCTGTAGCAAGTCTCGGTTTGAGTTCCCACGTGGTTGAATTCACCAGACGAGCTCGGTAAACAGCCCGGTGACTATTTCGATGAAGCTTTGATCTTATCTGACCTATGTCTGGCAGCAAAAAGGTTGTATGTGGTTTGCAAATGTTTATATATCCAGTAAGTGAACCTCTTGACTTTACAGAAGCAAGTTGAATGCTGAATTAGAATGCGGGGAAGTCCGAACCTGAGCTTCAGTGATGGTTCTGCAAGTCGCGTTATATATCCCTCCTCGAAAGTAACCTGGTAAGAATGAATAAGTATCTGCTTTACGTCTAACCTTTTGACTTCTTAAGATTTGTTCTATGTACTGCCTATAGTAAGTACAGACGAATGGAGGATACTTTTGGATGCATCAAAAAATCTGCGGTGAAAAACTCTTTTTCTTTTAACAAATGTATTTCTATGTGAAGTGATAAAAATATAGAGATCAGGATTATGAGCTTTATGGCTAATTTTGGTAACAAGATTTATCATTCAAAATGTAAAAAAGAAGTAATTTGGAAGTTGCTTATAGTTGTTATTATTATTTCTTTTTCATAATAATAGGAAAAAATATTCTCCCATGTTTATTTCTTACAAGAAACCACTAAACAATAAGTATATGTTTGAATTGTGGTTCATTTTAGGGTAACATGTGTCAAAATAGTTGTTTATCTGGATTAGCTGAAATTCACTAATATATTCTTTGTAAATTGATTGTGCACAAATAGTACATTCACAGTATGAAAATAGATTAAAGCTTATGATGAGACAAATAGTTCAGACAATTTGGTGAAGAAAAAATATGAAATTACTGCCTTTTATAGATTTTTGTAGGAGCATTTTGGTCTTGAGAACTGAATGTAGGGTAACATTTTAGCTTTGTGTCAAGCTAAATTCAAAATGATGAAAATTGTTAGAATATGGGCATTATGCAACTCCATCCCAATTGTACAAGACCGTACATGTGAAGTATAATATTTAGTGGAATCAATTGCCTAGTAATTTTTCTTTTCTTCATACTTTTTTAGCTTTGAAATCAGTGTGCCCAGTGGCTATGAAAACATGATTTGATTTCCAGGTATTTGTGGCTGCTGATTTTGAGCAAATTTTTCCGCTGCATTGGGGTGTTCGTGGCGTATGATGCTGTCAGGTCCATCCATGTAGTGTACTTCTTGCTCCTAGTGACTTTACTGTGAGTATAAAAGTGTTTGTGATTAATTGATTTTGACTTTATTATTTATGATTGTGTTCATATTTCCTTTTTAATTCTTTCTTTTCATGCACAAGGATCCCAAGTCTTTATTACTTGTATGTGTTGTAGTAAAAATTATTGCATGACGTATGAGGTATCACGTAATTTTGTGCAGTTTTTAATCATCGTGATATCTTAATCTTATGGGTGAAAAGTATGACTACGGATCCTTGGTTTAGCTCTATGCTTTTCTTTAGATAGCAGATTTCATTTGTTCTTGCGTCATTTTCTTATTTTAATCAGATTATTGATATAAATACTTTGATTTTAAAAAGATTTGATTTATTACTGTTGGCTTTGATGATTATTTATTCTTTAATTCACGTATCAGATATTTTGTAGGGAGTTAGAGCTGCAGTCAATAGCCTAGTGGATTAATTGTACCTCCTATCCCTGAATATGTTTCTGCCAGCTACAATATTTTACGGCATTCAAAAGTTTGCTGAAAATTATCTTGAGACCAAAATGTGGTCTGAAGAGGCTCTACGTTGCTATAGAATGTACAGTTATAAAAGTTCATATTGCATCTTTTTATGTCCGTGCATATTCTGTTAAAGGTATACTGATCTAACAGCATGAATTGATGTTGGTAAAGAGTTTTCTTAAATTGGAGGAAGAAGAGCAATTTTGACAGATAAAAGTTTGTTTACAAATGGATTGAACATTTCTTGTCTGGGTAAGAAGAATTTGAAGATGACTCACAAAGGAAGGGTATCAGCATTGTAGAAATAGGTCAGATAACATAAGTACTGGAAATTCCATAGGTGTCATTATGTAGCATCTTCAAATATAGAATGGACTTAGGGAAGATTTCTGTCCAGTGGGTCCCAGTACTGTTATGTGAGATCAGTTGGTGATAAGAGCCAATTTGCTGGAACAGTGTATAAGAATACTGGTCAATGGTTAAACAGTGATTATCACTTTGATCCTTAAAGGTATCAAAACAATGGCTTTCATTGGAGTCAACGGACCTATGAAATGCAGAGTGGATAGAACTAGCAGAGTTTATGACAGCAGACTTGAAGGAGTAATACCTCTTATTTATAGGCATCCTATAGGAGTCAGCTGTAACCTGAGTGTGATTACTAGACAACGTTAAGAAAATTGTGTGGTGTGTAGTGGGAATGATGGGAAGGTACCACAATTAAGTTCTGGGATATCAACAAGACAAGATATCAACAAGACAACAGACAACAAGCCCCATTCATATCTTTTCAGAGCAATATTTTATGAATTTTGTTAAGATGTAATTCACCCACCTTAAAGGCCAAATCTGGCTCCTTATTTTGTTTGTTTTCTTCAATGTTTTTGAATACACCCTGTGTATTAAATGAAGTTAGTTGAATAGTTATTCATTGCATTGTTTTCTCTGTTTTACTGATGTTAATCCAAGGCAATATCAAGCATATACCTTATCTGTTAGACACAACTTTAAACTTCTAATGATGTAAGGAAATGCTTTTGAGTTGCCAGATATTACTGGCAGAATGGTTGTTGATGAAAGTCAAGGCTTGAGTGCTTGTAACTTCATATCTTCATATTAAGTCTTTTATGCACAATATGCTAAATTGCCTCATAAGCCACATTCATCTTCCAGAGCCTAGTTAGCAATTAGTCCTGTACAATGCTACCCACGTAATCGTATTAAGTATCTTCACGTACTTAATGTGATGTATTCCCTTGTATAAGGTTGTTAAGAATCAAGCTACCTAAAATGTTGAACTTATATCACAAATGGTCAAAGACAAGAGCAGTATGTTGTTTCTTTGTGAAGCTTATTTATAATTTTGTTTTGTTTGAAATATATACTACAGGTGACTCCAAATGTAGATCAAAATAGGCAGCAAACTATGGTTTGTAAATTATACGTATATATATACATAACTATTATGTACCTGAAGAAACTATAGACTTTATGCCACATGATAGGTGAAGATAAGACATTTAGATACATCATCAATCAGCTGATGCTATGTAGCAGCTGTCAACAGGTGTCCGAACTGTGTTAACCTTGAATTATTTAAGCTACATGTGCTTTTCTAGGTGCTAAGTAATTTAACCACATGATGCTGGTGTTGTCATGATGTATGTACCATGTCCAATTGCTACTTTAGTTTATTAACCTGTAGCCGACGGATGGCATGTATGTACATGCCATGGCTGTTGTGGACCGAAACACGGATGGCATCATATCATGCCCATTCCTGTGCCACTGGTTCGTCGCTAGTTATGAATTCAGCAGTATTTGGTAGGGAATATCTAAGCGTAAATATTGGGGAAAGAATCTTGAATGTCATTTACGATATGTTGGTGATAAGGTAGATGCTCTCCTAAAATTGGGAGTAGGCATTATTTGAATATTTACTTTGGCAGGAATGACCATAAGACTTCCATCATGGCTCAGGAAGTCAGAGAAGCAAAGCGCAATAAACGAATAAGGAGCCAAACAAGGAAAGTCATAATGAATGTCTACAATTATTTCCGACATCAAGATGAGCGAGAAAGTGAGACTGATGTGGACCTAAGGATTGCCGCTGCAACAGGAATCTCTGTCCGGTCCTTTCATTCGATAAAACAACAGTACAGATGTGGTGTGATTAAATCTCCACCCCCAAGGTCCAGGATATCCCCAGTATTGGGATCTTTAGATGACCTTGCCAAAGACTCTATACGACAGGAGATATTCTCATTCTATGAGAAGGGTGAACGTCCGACAGTAGAAGCTCTGCTGATAAGGGTGAGGAAGCCACCTGTGAGCTTCTCTGGGGCATATTCCTCACTTTATAAGGTTGTGAAGCAACTCGGATTCCGTTATAGGAGAGTAGAAGGTGGCGGATACATTTTAATGGAGAGAAGTGATGTTGCTGCTGCAAGAAATAAATACCTGAGACTCCTTGATGAAAATCGAAGATCCAGTAGCCCAAGGCCAGAAATATATATGGATGAAACGTGGTTGAATGAAACCGAGTTCTTGGTCAGAGATATGGGATTGACTAAGAAATCTGCAGGGCGAAAAGGAAAAACCAGGAAAGGGGCTAGATATTTTATAGTGCATGCAGGTGGTGAAGATGGCTTTGTACAAGGGGCTTTATTATTTCAGTCAATAAATGGTTACAAGAAGCATTATGATGATATAAATGACACATGCTTCCATTCTTGGTTCCAGACACAGTTGCTCCCAAACATTCCACCTCATAGTCTCATAGTTATGGATAATGCATGGTACCATTCCAAGATTTTGAACAAAGCACCGAACGTCAATTCCAAGAAATGTGAAATAATCCAGTGGCTAACAGAATTGGACATAGCTCATGACTGTTCTTATACAAAATTTGAACTTCTCAATCTTGCCAATGCCCATAAAGACAAGCTCGTGTATGAAATTGATCAAATAGCCTGTGATGCTGGCCATGAAGTACTCAGACTTCCCGCTTATTACTACCACTTTAATCCCATGGAAAGGATTTGGGCTCGGGTGAAGAAAGAAGTGCAAAAGAGCATTTCAAATACTGAAGACCATACAGTTGAGAGGTTTTACGAAACAATAAAATGTGCAATAGACGGTATAACCACAGAAGACTGGAGGAAATCTCTACGTCACATGAGACATATGGAAGAGAAATTTAGAATTAAGGAGAGAGCATTTGAGAAGCTAATAGAAAATATTGTGATAAGCCAGGATGTTGATAGTAGTGAATCAGATAATGATGAATGAGTTAATTACAATTTTTATCTACATAGTAAATAATTGGCATAAAGTTCGTTCATAGCCACATTCACCAGAAAAATGCATACAGTGCTGCCAGAATCATAGAGAGAAAGGAAAAAGTATGTTTCCCATGCTTTTATTTTTTCCATTGAATGACTGACCGTATGTGGTGTGTTGTACAGCATGATGCCTAAACAAATGTTTACATTATTGGGAGCAGGAGGTTTGACATGGCAACACTGACCCAAGTAGTCTGTGGTGCTATGCTGTTAACCCATTAGCGACAGGTGTCCCACATATGAGACTCGAAAAAATAAACATTGTTGAGAGTCCGCCAGTGTGACGCTGTATCGGGGCTTGTGCTCCGATGCAGCAGCGGGCCACGGCCGGTGGGTGGACAGACTCTAGGGAAGCTCCGCCCGCTGATTTTGTAGCCTCCCGGAATATTTTATTTTTGGCTTCCAAATATACCGGCGTGAATGGGTTAGCAGGTGTCATTGGCGCTATTCCCCAGAGTATTCTATGTCTACTACTTGTATATATGTATAGGGTATTGGCAGGTACCCAATGATATGGAATATGTGTAGCCCATACAAACCAGTTTAATGTGCACTGTACTCCTCTTGATATCATTTGTGATATATTTTCTAACATTTTGAACATCCCCTTAAAGGTGCTAATGCCATAAAATCAAATATATTTTTATATTGCCAATTTTTGTCTTAATCATCTAGAAGAAATTGTGTGATAGTTACCTTAGACACTTGTCTACTTTTACTTCTTAACCCATTTATGACGGGTGTCCCGCATATGAGACACCCGGAAAAATAAACATTGTTCTTGAATGTTGGAAATTTCATGAATCTCCTCAGTGCAGATGGCATGTAATAAGGCCATAGCCACCTTTAGCGAAATCATTAATCATATTCATGTTTCACCCATATGCTGCAGTGAGGACATGCTATTGGCAGAAGTATTTCCAAACATTGTTTTATTTTTGTTATTAAAGTATGAGGGAGTTGGCAAATAACTACGACAAAGTACTAAACACCAAAGTACTAAACTTGCGAGTCCAACTTGCACAGACATATAATGCATAATAGTTAGCATGACTAAAGTTTAGGAGTACCTTGGTGGATGGGTATTACTTCTACCGGGTATAGATTTGGTATTAATTGTTAGTCTACACATTAGAAAAAATGTCTTGTACTGTTTTGCCATATGACAAAATATTTTATGATGTTTTAGATAAAGATAATGACAGTAAATGATTGTTTATCATGAAGAATGGATTTTTGAGTTGAATAGCTGGATAAGTGACTATTTCTGTGACAAGGTTTATATGTATGTAATATGTATAGCAATAATCACAAATCTTGAAAAATGAGTGCCAGTGTCATTCAGCCTGATCACTCTAGCTGATCTTGGGGGACTTTCATTTCTCTTCTCTACTAATCTAGGAAGAAATAAGATAAAAAAAGATGGACTCATTAACTTGTTGTTTGTTATCTGAAGTAGAAATAATTGTGGAGATGCTATTCGAAGTGGTTAAAAATCGAAATGTTTGTTGAAATTTTAATAATTCATGATGCAGTATGACACTCCCTATGCCACATTGTTTTAGTTTAGAACTTTCAAAACCTGGCAGGTCACACAAGATGAAAAATGTAGAATTACAAAAAACTAATACTGGTAGCTGGTATTAGGTAATATATCTGGGAAGAATACTGGTATGGCTCTGTTATAACAAAAACAGAACTGAGCCATATTAATTGTTACTCTGCATTATCTCATTCTGGGGAGAAATGTGATTTCTGAAAGGAGTCGAGAAACTAAGTAGAGAATCTAAATATTATCAATATGATGAAGTCTTACAATTAATAGTAGTTTTGTATTTGATGTACTGTATCAGAGTATTATAATGCATGCCATTTTAAAGGCTTCCAAATCATTACGTTAAATACAAAGCAAATCAAAAGAATTTTATTAGGGTGTCTGCTTCAGTTTTTGGTTGAAGCTAGCTCTTCATTTTCATTTTTATTTCTAGACTGATTAGCAATCAACTTTCTTTCGCTTGGTTTGTGTAGACGGTTAGAAGGAATATCTGACATTTATCATTAATGTTTTTTGGGGGGTGATGGGGACTTATCATTTTGGAGTGAAAAGAGAGTTGATGGTATTTAGTATTTAGGTGTATGTCTATTGTTGAATGATTTTTACCTTCTTAAAGAATAACATCAACTCTCTTTTCATCCTTCTAGGTGCTGACCAAGCAGGCAGGGATGGTCCTAATTGTCTTGGCCTTCATGTGGTGTTCCAACCAAAGATGCAGTTGAGCTGACTCAGCCTTTGAAAGGGCAAAGTTAAGTTGAGAAACTAGATAGGAAAAGCGGAAAAGAAAGTTTTTTTTGAAAAGAGGTACACATCTTGTCGGCAAAATGTCTGTTCGTGAGGGAACTCGAAGGAAGAAGATATCGGTTCTTCACATGCTAGGAACGTGGGAGGGCAAAATTGAAGGCTGCAATTGCCCGTCTTGCAAGGAGTGGGATGCCAGAGAAAAGACTCAAGGAGCGGTCCACAAAAGCCCCGCTAAAACTACAAAAAGTACCAAACCCATTGCAAAGAAAGTAAGCATTAAAGTGAAAACGACTAAAGTGATGGTGGAGAAGGAAGATCCCGCGTTGCTTGAGAAAAAAATCACTCCAAAGCAGCAAACATTTATGAAGAATGTCTCTTCAGTAAAGGGAGTGAAAATAGAACCAGGGCTAACCAAACTTCCATTGAATAGTAGAAATAGTGAATGTAGCTTTACTAGTGAAGTGATTGATTCAAAAATTGATGGAGGCAAATATATGAAAGGTATCTCTGTTGATAACATGCATTGTGAAAAGAAAAATGTAGACCTTTTACCTGGAGTGTGTAACAGCGTGAGTTCAGGAGTGGACATGTTTATGGACAGAATTGAAAAAGTTGGTGAAAGCTGTCACTCCCAGTCTGTAGAGAATACAGGTTGCAGTGACAAGAGAGGTAGTAGAGGTGCTCTAGAGGCTGTAACAGAGTCCCTCGATAGACCGGACAAGAATCTGAAGCGTGGCTATGATGATGGTGGAGGAGGGCAGAAAGTTGGAGACAGGCAGAAACTAATTCGTGAGGAAACAATTCTTGTAGATCCACAGCAAATAAAGCAGGAACCAGAAGAATACTTCTCAGACGAAGAGGATCTAGGTAGATATGGACGGCCGTGTGTTGATACCATCAAGAGTGAATCACGGATGAGTAAAAGGGCAAGAATGGTTACATCTGAGATTGAAAATATTTATGCCAAGCCTCGTATGGTCTTTACTGGTAGAGGTGTGGTAAGGAAATTTGAACCAGGGATAGATAAAACCCCAAAGTCAAGAAGAGGAAGGAAACCAAACAAAGTTATTCCTGTTAAGGTCAAGCAGGAACCAAAAGATCATGTAGATACAGGTGAAGACGAGGAAAGATGTGAATTAGATCAGTTACAGAGAGCCTTGTCTGAAGCTGCTGCAGGTATTAGTGATGTGGGAGATTTTGCAGATGATCTCCATGACTTTGGTGATGCTAAAGAAGGTAAGCAGAAGAGAAAGGCCCCCAAAATATTCAAGAGAGTTGAAAGTGATGGTGATAAGTATGTGGAATGCAGCATGTGTTTCAAAATGTTGAAAGAATCTTCTATGAAACAACATTACAAGACTCATACTGGCGAGAAACCACATACCTGTGATGAATGCGATGCAAGGTTCACACGGAAGGGGGATGTTGAGAGACATAAAAGATTAGTTCATAAAAATCAAAAACCATTTAAATGCAGAAAATGTAGTAGGGAGTTTTCCGATAGAAAAAATTTGAAGAGCCACTTGCAAAACCACGACAAAGCTATTTATTTTGCTTGCGATACATGTGGTTTTAAGTTTGGTAAGAGAGAATACTATGAGAACCACATTAGATACATTCACCCACTTCCTAATGGGCAAATACCTGTGTTTGCTGAAGGGGAGGAAGACCTAGCTTCAAAGCAGTTGAAAGAACTTGAGATGGAAGAAACCAAAGAGAAAGAAAGGGAGAGAGAGAGAGCTGCTCTCAATGAGAATTTGCATTTAGATAATATTGATGAGGAAGAGGAAGAGGAAGAGGAAGATGAAGATGAAGAGGACAAAGCAATGGAAATAACTGTCACAGAAGGGGAAGAGCTAAATGCTACTTCAAATAGAAAAATAAACATAAAGAAGGAAGAGCTCACAGATACCGATGAAAATGTAAATACAAGGGAAGAGGATGATGACTTTGGAAGCCCTTACCCACCTATAGAGGCAACCAAAAATTGTAAAAAAGAGATATCAGTTGACTCAACAGGGTCTTTAAGAGGTCCTCAAGTGGGAACTGATGTCAGAGTATCTAAAGGAACACTGAGCTTTACCCAAACAGTTCCTGACACTGATACTCAGGATGAGGAACTTGTAAACAAAGTCATAGCTGCAGCAGTTAGTCAAGCAGCAAACACCATTGAGAGCCTCCAGACAGCAGCTGGAGCAAATTTATCTGGGAATGAAATTAATGACTTTGATGACGATGATGATGATGAGGAAGATGAAGAGGAGGATGAGGAAGAGGAAGAAGAATTAATGGAAGAAACTGATGCTATACAGGAAATCCTAGACTCCCCAAATTTTGACCTAGTGCCTATGCCACAGGTACAAAAACCAGCTGACCAGCAAACTGAAATCCATATCAATGCCTCTGTCGGTGGACAAAAGAAAAAGTTCATAATCCAAGTTCCTCCAGGGAGCAACTTCAACGTACAAACCCCAGATGGCATGGAGATGATTGTGACAATGGTGAACCAATTATGTCCGGGGAAGGGTGAGTTAGACGGACCTGTGGAAGTGGTGATGCACAACACAAACCTGCGGACAGTTGGTTTAGAATGATCTTGAAGTAATGCCAAGTTGGGCAAGAGGACATTTTGTTTATTTATGAATATAATTTTATATACCTTGAGAAGTTGAGAGGTATTGTAAATATTGTGTTATACAAGAAGTTAAGAAGAATGTATAATATGAAGTAAATTGTATATTTAGTACTCAAATGTTTCTTATAGGAACTTGTTTTACCAAGTGGTATGAATAGATCTTGAAAGTTGTTTGTAAATATGGCTTTAAATACATGTATGATCCCATGCATATGTTTCATGTTAAAAATAAATGTTAATTTCTGTAAAAACAAATTGTTTAATATCTAGTAACTCCTTTCCCCTAAAAAGAAGAAAAAAATTCTGTGATACATGACTCCTGGGATACACAAAAACCTGGGAATAACATTAATTAGGTTTTATAACTGAAATCAGATAGAAATGGTATGGAAATTGTAGTATTCCTAAACTATGAATATTATGGCTGCAAAGAAACTCGAAAATAAATGGAACATATGTTAAATGAAATGTTACAACTAAATTTGCAGTGTAATGTCAAATGAAGTTCCATGGATATAGCATTTATCTATATATCAGTATTGATTGATTAAATAATTGATATTTTATGGATATTCGTAAATCTTGCATACTGCTGACCGTAACAAAACCAACAAAACTACAAATCCACCTTCAAAAAAGACATAAGATATATTTTCAGATCATGATAGAAGTGATATTGTACACAAATGCTCAAATATCAAATATATTTGTTATGAAGAGCATTTTAAGAAATTTATTTTGAATATCAGACAAGCATTGTTCAGTTCTGAAGTTTTAAATCAAATAAATGGAATCTTTAGATTATAAAGGACATATAGTTACTATTTTTCTAATTCTATCCAGTTGAAAGGTGCTGCTAACGACCTTACCAGTTGATGCACTAGATGATCCTCAATAATATCTGCCTTACAAGCTTTTCTGTGTTTGCAAGTTATTTGGCTATGAATTAGTATCTCCACTACAAACTATAATATTTCTGGATGTCAATGACCAAATTGATACATATAATACATATACATGAATACATATATACATATATACAGATATACAGATATACAGATATACACATATACACATATACACATATACATATACACACATATATACACACACACACACACACACACACCACACACACACATACACACACACACACACACACACACACACACACACACACACACACACACACACATATACACACACACACACACACATTACACATACACATACACATATACACATATACATACACATACACATACATATACACACATACACACATATACACATACACATATATACACATATACACACATATATACATACACACATACACATACATACACATACATACACGAATGTACACAGACACATGCATCATATACAGGATACAGAATTTCTGCGTTATTTATTTATTTTTTTTAGAATTACCAACCTTCATCTCTCGTAGTTCTTATTTATGTTGGCAGGAAGCCTTCACTAGGAGAGTGATCTGTCAATGATACTTTGTTGGTGTGAATGCAACCAATTATTAGTTTACAGTTATAAAATCTGAAAATGAATTTGATTAGATTATGTATGTATGTATGTTTGCGTGCATGTGTGTGAGTGTGTGTTTGTTGTTTTCTCTGTTTGTTTTGTTTTATGTAAATTTAAGTGCAGTGTTGTGTAGTGATGATTTGAAGCTTTTTAGGGAGATTAAAAGAAAAGATATTCTTTAAGGTTAAAGCTGTTAAACATATCAAACCCTATCTCTCTTGTTCGTTACATAAAAAGAGAATGAATGTTGTGAATATCAGGATGATCTTTCCAGTTCTTTTTCTGAGAAGTGGTCCATAGTTGATCACTTTTTTTTTTTTTTTTTTTTACCCATGAAGATGGAATTAGCCTCTTTTTATACAGAAAAAAGTAGATAGGATATGTCTTTTACATTTTTTATTTTATCGGAGTTTCATATTACAGCTTTCCAAAGCTTTGCATTTTCGTAAACTTAAGAAGACAGTTTTTTGTTATGATTTTCAGTTTTTACGAGAATGGTAAATAGAAAAAAAGCTATTGAAATGAAGGAAATCTGTGTTTTTAACATCCTTAATAATTTTTATCTGAAGATGTGCAGGAAGAAAAAGTCTTTGTCTTTGAAATTATGCATAAACATTTTTCATTAGTTTTTCATTAGTCATCCATACTGTTGCTATTGTCTCTGAAATTATATCTTAATGCAAAAAATTGAGTAGTAAAC